CAGAGTACTGTAACTCAACAACACCAACTAAACAAACATGCACTACATTGACTCCAGTAGCAGGTCTCATAGAACAATTTCTGAGTCAGTAACAAAATTTACATTTGCAAAAGTGCGAGCAAGGATGTCGGGTGCAAGGTGTAGAATGATGAAGGGAAAATAGCAAACCCTTCTTTGATTTGATCCTTTGGTTTCAGCTCTCTCGCTTACTCAGAAGCTAACCTTTCTTTTTCTATTATTTTGGGTCTATATATATATCTGACATTGACCTGAAGACTAAAGATTCGACTTCTTAACCTGACCTCTTTCTTCGTAACTAACCTCCAACTCCATTACTGTGTACTGTTAACCCACCTGTCAGGGGACTCAGGAGACGGCTGCGGCTACAGCTACGATCGAGCAGTGCTCCAGGGCAGCAGGTCTGCAGCTGCAATGCACAACGTACGTACGACGATCCAAAACGACCTTCGCAGGCACCAGCACGCTGTTTATCAGCAGCTGCCACCGTGACCCAGCAGCTTGCTCGGTGCTTTAATCTATATCGTACCTGTCCTCCATCTCAAGCTCCGTGGGAATCAACCAACCAGGACTCTTGAGTATGTAGTAGGCGTCTTTGAGCTCCTGCAGCTTGTGTAATTTCCCACGGAGAGGTTTGGGTGCCCTGAGACTCCGGGAGCCGGCGGTGCCCGGACTGCACTGGAGATGCTCGATGTCGATCGCTGAATGCAGGGGACGGAGCAGAGGACCCTATGCTTGGTCCAGCGGCCGGCCACCGATACCGCATCCGCAGCCCCAGGGACAGGATCGACGATCATGAAACTGATGAGATAAACATGCTGCCATGTTTGTGTATCATTCTATTCAGTTTCACTTGGCACACATGAACGAAAAAGGTATAAGGCATAGGCACAAGACAAGAGAAATAAAAGACTTACACGAGGGGGAGAGAAACTGTAACCTAAGGGGTTAGGAAGGAGAAAGCAAAGGCCCAATTAGAGTCCAGTTAGGAAGGTTAAGGGGTTAGGAAACAAAAATAGAAATTCTATCCAATCTTCCCTGTGTCACGAGTGGTCGGAGGCGGCGCTCTCCATCTCGTCCTCCCCGTCGCTAGGGCACGCCATCCTGCAGGTGCGTGAGATTTTTCCTCTACGAATCGCCAGAGAGAAAGGGGGCTGCTGCTGCTTCTCATGGCTCTGTCCTTCCTTCGTTATCTGCAGAGTTGTGGTGTGCAGGGAGGACAAAGGGCAGGGTACGTAGCAGTCCAGGGATGAGTGTGGCTTGAAGGACGATTTTGCTTGTAGGTAATTGATAAGTCGATTTCCCTTCTATTGCTCACGTGTAGCCTCTGGTTTGGGTCTGGGCACCACAAAGGAATAAACAGAGATCATGTTTAGGTTAACTGAGTAGATCAGATCAATTTCGTTTTTATCTCCTTCTTTCTGTTTCTTCTTTAGATGAACCATAGGTTTGAATCGGAGGTCTGTAGACTACTACTTTATCTACGATATCAGAAGTGTAGCAGTTGAATATCTAAGAACATGTGGATTTTCGAAGTTACTGTTGCAAACTGTTTCAGATCTGAGTGAAAACATTGTGGCCCAGATTACAAATAGAAGAAGGCCGAATTAGATTTTGTGGTGCATAACAAAGTTGTAGGGAATTTTAAGTAGATGTTTTTACTGCATTCGATCATTGCATTTGCTGTTGTATAGAAATAGTTATGAAAATAGCAAGTTCTGCTCTGAGTTTTGTATTTGACTGTCTTGCAAGGTGAATTCCTTTTTAAGGGTATCTTTTGCAATTAGAAAATGTGGAGAGTGATGGACTAAGCATAGAGACGTGTATTTACTCTTAATATGTTATGCATGATTTATTGAGTAGATCCATATATTTATTTTTTTATCAGGAAGTGCGCCAAATAACCGCTCTTAGACGTGCTTGTCGAGGTTGTTTTTTTCGGTGAAAAAGGCAAGTAACGTAGGGGTGTGGCTAATGCTATGCTTATATTCATGTCTTGCATTCTTTTTAAATAAAATACAACAAGACTAATAATATAGTTTACCTTTATTCTTGCTTATGTATATACTGTTTATGGATTTATTTATCATGTCGATGCTGCTTGTTGCTATGAGATGATGGTTGCAGATTATTATATTATAATTGTTGCACTATGGAGTTATGCATACATGATCATTCATATGCATATATATGCATTTCATATGGAGTTAATGGCCGGTCACCGCCATCGCGCAGTGACTAGCACCGGTACATGGAGTTGCATGAGAGGTTGGCATTGTCCAACATTAAACTCTCAAATGGAGTTGCATCATGGCATATATATACATTTCATGCCATTTGCAGAATATGGAATTGCAGATTACTGATCCTCTGAGTGGCTGGTTAATGGTTGACATAAGAAAGTTGAGTACTTCAATTATTCATCGCCCCCTAACATGGTTCCTTTTCGGTTTAAATCTTGTTAATCAAATACTTGATGTTTTGGAGAATATCAATACCATGATGACGTGGTACTCTAGTCCTATGATAATGTTTGAAAGTCGGCACAATATGAACTGCACAATTTATTTGTCCGTTTACTTTCCTTATAATTATGGACGTTCATATGGCTTTTCAAATTTAATAACTCAACACGTGTAAGGTATGTGTATATTCGTAGCCGCTGCTTGTTGAGTTTATCTCACCCCCTTTGTTCTCTTCCAGGTGATTAATGATGAATGCTGGCATGAAGGGGATGGGATTAGCAACACGTCTTGCACTCTTGTATCATCACATAGTAATTGTAGAATTATGAAATAATAAAGATAGTAGATGTTATCTTTTGTATTTTTAGACATAATAATCCTGCGTGTCTCTTCCCCTTGTATAGTTTGCTCGTTATACCACGTGTATCTTCTTATTTACATGTTTTTTCCCGCTTGCGTTTGTCTTTTATTTAGAGGTTGCCGAAAACTATGAGTTCAGCAACTTTGTAGAGTTGTGTGGTAGCATACCAGGGTTGCGTGCTACCTGGGGTGTGACAGAGACAGAGGCAAGGCTCCTGTCATTCACTAGCTGACAGCTCAGAGCCGTGTGATGACAATTCAATGGTTGATGATCCCTGATTACAAGGTAATTTGGTTGGCAAACGTTTGGCTCCAAGCATCACTCCTGTATGGCAATCAGCACTTCGAAATGCATCTTGCCACAAATCCGACCGATCTCCTCCTAGTTGAATCAGTCAGATGCATCTGGACACAGGTGTGGCCTCATTTCAGTTGTCAAGTTGTTGAATGCATCTGGCACTAGAAGGCTCCAAAGCTTTGGAAGAAACCAAATTGGCATGAATGAAAATAGATTGTAGATTTATCTGATTTTTGGCCTTATTACACCCAAAAGCAGCATGCCAGCATACAAAACTGATTTTGATCTCATCAGTAGGCAGCAGCAATGCTATTTTCTTCCGCCTGTTCGACACCAAAGCGACACCTTAACATGTCGCAGGAGACCATGGAAGCCTCCCATCCATCTTTGCCTCTGCCGACCAACACAACTCCACCAGAACAGAGGATCCTCTAGCAACCCAGGCGCAGAGCAGCAGCATCTATCCAGGAAAACATTTCGACCTGTTTCACCCATCTTTTTTAAGAATATATTGTCATAATAAAATAGTATTATGTCAGTTTTCATGGACAAAGTTTCACAAGTGTCCAGTTTTTGTTTGACATTTGAGAAAAATATTATGGTTTAGGATTGTGTCTGCTATTTGTAAATTCAGTGATCAAAAGATATTTTTTCCACTGCCCACCTCTGAGGTTTCAATAGCCATTGAGATGTGGGAAAAGCAAAGAGCACAAAATTTGCATTGTCGCATGATTTTCAGCTGTCATGGGAGGACTGAAACCATTTACTGCTGAACTTGCTTTCCTAAGAGTGCAAACTGTTTGACTAGAAAAAATCATACACAGCATCCATATTTCAGTAAATCTTCTGAGATTGAAACAACAAGGCTGGAGTATATTAAACAAATTCACTTGATCGAAAACATATATACGGTTATTGTTACACAAAAAATAGAAGGCATTAATAAGGGAAAAGTGCATAAATAATCGAACAAGCATCAAATCAGCAAGTAAGCAAACATTCTGAGTATGTAAAGGGTGGGAGGCACGTGCAGAGGTATTCATTCTTTAGAATTCAGAATTGTAAATATATAAAGAGAGAATCCGAAGGATAGAATAATGGACAATATGAATAAGTGCCCTGCACAGTAGATGAAAACAAGCGGGTTGCACTATTATGCATTGTTGGATTGCAGGGGAATGAGTATATACAATTATGTTCAACGTAAACAGAGCATACTTTATGAAATGTGGTTATTACCTTGCCTAGAAGACTAGAAGTAGAGCAATCATATTTTCTCAGATCCAAGAGACATGGGAAGGCTGAAACCATTTATTGCTGAACAGGGTTTCATAAGAGTGCAGACCATTGATTAGAAAAAAAAACATACAGCAGCATCCGTATTTCAATAAATCTTCTGAGATTGAGAACTGCAAGGCAGGAGTACATTAAACATATTCACCTGATCGAGAACGTATATAGGTTATTGTTACACACAAAACAAAAGGCATTAATAAGTGCATAAATAACTGGGTCAAGCATCAAATAAGCAACAGTCTGAACATGTAAATAGCTGTATGACAGTATGAGACTACAGAGGTGGTTTCACAGGCACTTACCAGTTTGATGTATAGGGTGGAAGGCATGTGCAGAGATTATTATAATTGAAAATTGTGAATAGAGAGAGAGAATCCAGAGGACAATAATACACAATATGAAGAAATGCCCTGCACAGCAGATGGAAACAAGCGGATTACCTAGAAGAAAACATCAATTGTGGCCAAATAAACGAAACAAGAATGACGGAGGTTTATGGGGTTAGGGAGAAGCAAGGGAAATTGATGGGTGGGAAGTTCCACCTCTTTGTTACCTTGGGTTTGTCAGACTTGGACTATTGGAATGATATTTATCAACTTGCGGCACTGTCTCCTTAGCTCCTCGCTTCCGCTGTAACGGACATTTAAATATCGCAGGGAGCTTGGAAGGTCATCCACCTTGGGCAGTGACTGGATTTTTGGACAGTCTATGATATCCAACTCTTGCAGTGAACTTGGGAGGCCCTCCTTGGGCAGCATCTGGATTGCTCCGCACGTCAAGATGTGTAACCTCTTGAGGTTGGGATGTCTAGGTAGCCGTTCAGGGAGGGACTGCAGGTTGTGCCGGCCACTTAATGTGATATCCTCGAGGGAGTCGACAAACAGAAGGGCCTCTTGCTCCTCTGTGAGGCTCTTCACCTTGTGATCCACACAAATACACAATTCGGTGAGCGAGGAAAAGAGCAGGCTATGACGAATGGCCGCAGCAGTGAATCCAGCCACATCATCTATTTCGAGCCTCTGCAGTTTTGAGGAACAGGATGGAATCTCCTGTTCGGAATCAACAAAAAAAAATTGGGCGTTCCTTGAACAGATAATTCGTTGAGATGGCCTTGGGCGAGGAGAGACCACAGTCCCTCGCCTCTTAAATCCCCACATCGGTATATGGATAAACTTGTGAGAGCAGTGAGGTTTGATAGAGGCAGTTGAGCCCCCGTGCCCATCGCTCCTGAAATACTAAGGTGTTCCAGGGAGTTGGGCAAGGGGAAAGAAGAAGAGAAGGATGAAGAAGAGTATGAGGACAGGAGCTCGGGGCAATTCTCGATTTCCAGCCTTCGGAGGGAGCTTAGACCCCGGAGGCCTCCTCCTTGCCCAGTTCGTCCATCTTTGTTGCTGTCGTCATGTGGATTGGAGCCAAGGAGTCGCAGCTTTGGGCTGCCATGGATCTCCAGGTCCTGCAGTTGGGGAGGCAAAATCAATAGGCCATGTTCTGCTTCTTCTGATGCGACTATTACGTCGACATTTGCTCTTGCATCCTGCTGCTGATCCTCTTTGTTAGCTGAAGTTGTTGTTCCGGGCGTCTCTGTTGCGTGCTGTCCCCTCACATTCACAGCCAGCCCTGTTACCTTTGCACAGAACCACAGCTCCAGATCTGAGAGCTTTGGGAAGTAGACAAGTAGCTGTGTCAACTCTTTCCCACTAGGACTCCACACCCTCGATGGCCAGCGATTCAACTGAAACTGGTATTTGACATGGCTGTCAGCTTCAACAAGTGGAAAGACATTACTCGGATAAGACATACGTAGGGTCCTTAGGGATGATAGCATTTGTAAGTAATGCGATGGCGAGAGATTGGCACCGATCTGAGGCACAAGCCCTCCAGTCCAGTTAGATTATGAAAAGCTAGCACATCCCAAACCGTGCTATCATTTGTATCCTTATTATTTCCCTCAATGGTCAAATAACTCTTTTCTTTTCCATAAACCAATCTATCAAGAGATGAAATTCCTTTTATTTTAATGTCGCACGGAGCTTCAGTCCAAGGAATGGGTGCAAATGACAATAGTTGTGGACATCTCTTAATCTTGAGCTCCTTCAGTCTAGGAAATAAATTGTCATTTGCATCTTTCCCTTGTTGACAACAACCAGCAGAATGCGAAAACGACAATTCCACAAGTTGAGAGCAATCCCTAATGATAAGCACTTCCAAATAAGGAAACAATTGACAAGGGGCATGTACATTACGTTTTCAACCCCGACAAGTGTATAAGTTCCAGCCTTCTCAAATTTCCAAACCTCTTCTCAGGGATATTGATTGAGATTTCCTCACGGGGCACATTTACTAACCACAAATCTCCAATAGGTGGAAATGTTTTCCAGTTTACATCATGTAGACAGAGAGATTTCAGACTACTGAGTGAGAGGTTCATACTCAGCCATGAAGGGCAAGTGCCTCCTCTGTGCCCTATAATGGATAACTTTTGAAGATTGCGATTTGGCTTAAGCCTTTCAAGAACATGTTTTTGGAGTGCAAAATCATCGGCAAGCCAATTAATATTCCAACGTAGTATCAACTCATGTAAGTGGCTTTTCAACATCAATTTTGCTTCATCTGCTTCTTCCGGTACATGAACTTTTTCAAGACTATCAATGCACAGTGATCCATGGAGCTCTTCCAAATGTCCTATCTGCCTTAATTCAAAACCTTGATGATCTTGTTTGACCACAAATCTTCTCAACTCTTGTAATGATTTTAGTTTCCCAACGTCGGTGATGCTAGAGTGTATTGTATCATCTTGAACAAGAAGATGGCGCAATTTTACAAGGTTCTTGACATCTCTTGGTAGATCTATGATGTCACAGATGTTTTGCATCTAGGACCATCATGTGATGAAATCTAGAAATTTTATTGGGAAATCGGCTTTATATTGAGAAGAACATTCAATCCGAAGGTAGCGAAGATGGAGTAGACTATAAAAGTTCTTTGAACAAATATTCCGGATCATAGGATGCTTCGATAGAAAAATAACACGAAGGGCCTTTGCTTCCCTAAATAAATCACCAAAAGCCTTCACAAAGCAACCGTGGTGTTTCCCAAATATCATCAAAGTTTGCAGTTTTCAACTTTTAATCTTGTGTGCAATGTATTGATATCCTCCACACAATTTTTTTGAGTCAATCTATTGTTGACACTGGTATCATCTATGTTGATAGACAAGTGGCGGATTGATGTCGGGATTTGTAAGGAGCTCACTTGAGATTGAGTGTCTATGCTAAGGCATTCAAGTGATGAAACTTTTCGTGCTAATTCATGTAAGAGATCATGAATGATGTAACAAGTTCTTCCATCCTTTTCCCCTTCATCTTCCAAAAATCCATAATTAACCAACTCAGTCAAATGACTTAGCCCGATATCTTCAACTCTTTTACTTTCACCATGTGGTGAATAATGCAAAGCTTCTTGTCCTATCCAGAAGTTAATTAGCTCTTCTCCTTCAAATCAGTAATCTTGAGGAAACAAAGCACGATGGGAGAAACACTTGCTTGAAGTCGAGGACGTAAGTAATCAAAGCTCAACTTCAGTGCAGGCATAATGTCATTCTTACCGTTGCTATGCTCCCATTGCTTACTTTCTAAGACTCTAGTCCAGTGAACCAAGTCAAGTTGGGTTTTCAACAATCTACCAACAGTTTTTGCTGCAAGAGGGGAGCCCTTTAGTCTACCAGCTATCATAATCCCAATTTCAAGCAAGAATATATGGTCCTTTCTAGATTGATCATCATCACCAAAGATAATATTTAGGAGTAATTCCTCAAATGGTTCACTATCTAGACCTTGCAAATATATTGAATGATCATTTTTCCGAACCATTATGTGTGCTTGTGCTGGAAATCGAGTTGTGACTATAATTATATTACCCAGTACTTGTGATTTTCGGAATGGCACCAGCAGCCATTTCCATTCATCCTCATCACAGCAGTCCCATATATCATCTAATACAAGCAAAAACCTCTTATTTTTCAATCTTTGCCCAATCAACTCACTAGCAGCACCATTACAACTTTCATGATCATCTTTAGGGATATATCTTTGAATCTCTTCTATCAGCTTATTCACATTAAAGTTGAGTGAGACACATGTCCAAACTTTTACATCAAAATGTTTTTGCACCTCTCCACTGTGATATATATGTTGTGCAACAGTTGTCTTTCCTATGCCCCCTGGACCAATAATTGGAATAACTGTGAAGACCTCACCAGAATGTTTACCCTTTGTGATATCATCTATGATGCTCTTCACCATAAGCTCCCTCCCATACAGTTTTGGCTCTATACTTTCAGAGATGGTGATGGGGCGACTTTGTGCAATGTTTGGGGTAGTGCTCCAGTCTGAACCTAATAGTTTAATAGCACTAGAGAACTTCTTTTCAATGAGCTGCATTTGCTCTACAATATGTTCTATTCTTCGAGAGGCATTGTCCCTATCAAATCTCAACTTTGGTGGTTCATCATGAACGGATGGCAACTCTGGTGAATTGTTCTCATCATCATCATAGTTATAGTTCTCGTTGTTGTTGTTATCATCATCATCATCATCATCATCATCATCATCATCATCATATTCACCATCATCATCATCATCATCATCATCATCATCATCATCATCATCATCATCATATTCACCATTATCATCATCATCAACATCATAGTTATAGTTTTCATCATCATGAAAAGATGACTGAGGTGAGCAAGGGGACACATTAAGGTCCAGGTTGTGGGCGCAACCTTCGGCATGCTGGCTGGCGTCCAGCATGTCTTGGATGTGAAAGTATTCCATCTCGTCCACCACATCCTCAGCGTCATATACAAGGTCTTGAAGCATCATTAGACAGTGCTCAAGCGCTGAGTTGTGTATCACCTTGCCGAGGGTGGACTCAAGAATCGCCTTGACAGATAGCAGCTCTAGCTGGAGGGCCGTGACGCCCGGGCCAAGGTTGATGGTGGCTGCCCAGTCCTTGAGCAGGTTGTCCTCTAAGGAAGCCAACGCTTTGTGCGCCACCCAAAATGATGCATTTCGTGACCCTTGATAACAAAGCGAACCATCCACACTTTCCAAAACTGGCTCGCGTTGTGGTTGGAGTGGTGCAGCTGCTGATTTCATTATGCCTTTTGTGATCCACGCTGGTCGGTGATCCATCAAGCCGTCCTCACGCTGCACATCCGGTTGCAGTACCCCTTCCTGGGCTCCAATCTATGAATAATTATGCAAGAAACAGTTAGACTAACTGCACCTTAGCTTGTCACAGATATTAAAGGCCACAGAAATATACTTCCTGTGTTTGTTTTTCTAAGGCGGCATACTATATATGTGTATGGGGATTTCGAAAGTCAAGTAATATTATGTCCACCGCTTTTTTTAGAGTAAAGTCCGATTCACCCCTAAACTAGTACTGAATTTGAAAGACCACCTTACTTAAACTTCAATGTCAGATAAATACATATCTTAACTTTTAAAACCGGACAAAATACCCCTTGACCATTGCAAAGTGGTTTCTTTAGTGTTTTAGCTCTCTAATTATGAACATTTTTTATTTTCCCATTTTTTTTAGTTCTCAGATGGAGAAATGCTCTATCCCTAATTTGTAGTGCTCAACATTTGAGATCATTTAGGAGTCCAAATGTTTAATAAAAGACGACATGGTTAAAAAACTAAATACATGTGCGGCCCACATGTCACATATGTGACACATCAACTAAAACTAACATTGAAACCACTCTAAACTATTTTAGGGGTTATGATTTGTCCGGTTTTGAAAATTAAGGGGAGATGCTGTCTGGTATTTAGTTTGAGGGTGTTTTTTAAATTCGATGTCAATTTTAGCGGGGAAATCAGACTTTACTCTTTTTATTACAATACTAGATAATGCCCGTGCGTTGCACGAATTGTGAGCTATGAGGACTTTGTATTGGATGCGAATACATAGATTTTGTCTTTGTAATAGAATCGGGTCGGACGAGAACGCGTGAGGTTTGAAGACTTCGTATCAGACACGGACACATAGATTTGGTCTTCGTATCAGAACCGGGTAGAACACGACCACGTGTCAAGTGAAGTATGAATAGTGATCTTGACATGATCACTTGAAATCGATTAAATCCATTTTATAGTGCAACACCGTGTTCACCACAGCTATCTAAGGTGAATTTGAGGGAATTGTTATTTGCATATGTCTACTTTAGATAAACTTCTTTTATCTTATTAAAACAGTTTTATTTGATTTTAGGAGATTAATTTATTTTCGCACAGAGAGAGTTTATTCCTCTAATTTGTCATGCATTAATATGTGCATGATCTGTTTTCAATGTCGGTGGCAGCAAAAAGATTTCACAATATGAATATGTGCATGATCTTTTTGTTGTCATCAATAAAAGCCCTTCTTTGAATTCCTCTGTTTGAATATGTGCTGATTTGTTTCATCGGCCTGTAATCAGTTCTTTATATGATTTTCGATGTGGAAGAGTTTTTTTTCCTAAATATATTTTTTGGTCGTATATGATTTTTGATGTGGAAGAGTTTGTTTCGGAAACAACTTTTTTTTCCATATATGTCTTTTTTTTCGGAAACGTTTTTTGCTATATAGGATCTTTTTTTCCAAACGGGAACATGATTTTTTACGGTGGTTTTTTTGCCGCATATGCTTTTATTTTGGAGTCTTTTTTTGCCATATAAATGTATATTAGAAACGCAAAAAAGGGAACGATGGTTTTTTTTGCGGTATATGTTTTTATTTTGGAAACATTTTTTTGCCGTATAATAGATACGTTTTTTTATTGGGGACGGGCGCATACACGATGTACCTCTATGGACAAAAGCTCGTCGCGTTTTTTAAGTGGTAATAGACACTATCAATACTTTGCTAAAAGAAATTAAACCCATAGGCAAAAAACAAACCACTGGTATTTTCAAATCCTATCATATAAAGGAAGTAAGAGTACCATAATATTATTTAAGTCATAATTATCACTACATTTTCTATCGAGATGTTATAATTTGCATACACAAATTAAAATTAAAATATCCAAATTACACCGTAGTAGTAATTAAAAGATATGCTAATTAATGATGAGAAGGGATGGGTGGATAATAGCAGGATTGCTTAAATTTTAGACAAATTTTAAATGCTAAAATTATGTACATTTATGAATGGAGGGGGTACTACACCTGTTTCTAGGAGGTACTTGATGTGGTTTCACTTTTAAAGGAAATTGCGTTGATACACGTCATCAATCTCATAGCTTGTTTCATGCTGTGCTACATAGAATTTTAAATAATATGAAGGATAGAGATGAACATGAGAGAAATATGCAGTTGTTTTACAATTGAACTTAAGAGACAACCCATTGTATGGCTTGCCTACTAAGTCATCTTCATATTATGTGTTGTATGATGATTCAAATTCTACTTGGACTGGGACTCAAGAGAGGTGTGCTATTAGGGTTGTAATTCTATTATGACTTGAGTGTCTCCTACTTGCATGTCTGAGAGCCTTGGAAGAGACTATATAAACAAGGTGCCTTAGGTATCAACCAAGCCAACATAAGAGTTCCATCCAATGCTTGTAAGAAGCAATTAAGAGCACTCAAGAGGATTAGGCTAGACAATTTTATTGCACTAGATTCTTATAAAGGGCAAGAATCAGTATGTCCTAAAGTGTGTCAAGTAGAGCAGTAAGAGAGCAACAACCGCTTGTAGTCTTTTGGAGTTGTGCTTATAGAATTTGAGGTCGGTTTAGGGTTTTCTACTAGATTCGTGTAAATTTTTCTTAATACGGTGCATAACGATGCCATACTCACAATATATCCTTTTCAAAGACCCGAGGGCTATTACACATAACTAGGGATATTATATTCTAACGTTACATGATACTCAATGAAACCACCTAGATAACATCAATATACTTGATTACCCTAAGGAAGCCTAGAATAATAAGGTGAGGCTTATATTAATCTAGTAGTGTAACCAGCGGGAACAATAATTTGCCATTATTATGCTGTACGATTTAATGTTCATCCTAGAAGTCTATAGTGTAAGATGATAAGAATAAAATGGGATTGTTTTTCTCTTCATCTTACAAAGTGAGCCTGGTGGTATTAAGGTTCTTATTTTTTTCTTAGAAAGTTAACCTTCATGTGATTGGTATCTTAAGAAATAGTTGAGCTGCCGGTTTGCATCTATAACTAAAAAACAATGAAAATGAAATGTTATTTATGGATATTTCCCACACATTATCTGTCGGGTTTCACTAAAGAAACATATCATTCATTACAAGCATATCAAGTGATTTTTTTCTTCTTAAAAAGTTAACCTTCATGTTGATTGGTATCTCAAGATATAGTTGAGCTTCCACATTTGCATCTATAACTAAAAAATAATGAAAATGAAATGTTATTTATGGATATTTCCCACACATTATCTGTCGGTTTTCACTAAAGAAACATATCATTCATTACATGCATATCAAGTGATTTTTATTAAGAAAAAAAGAACTAAGGCACATGTCATGACTATACCCAAAAAATAGCATATTCCAAAATTGTAGGACACTTTTCACGTCTAATATTGCAATAAAGTGCAGAAAGGGCCGCATACTCAATGGGATATAAGATACTCCCTCTGTCCCTAAATAAACAGATTCCTAGAGTTGTCTTAAGTAAAAAATTTTAAACTTTGACCGAATTTCTAAGAAAAACTGTCAAGATTTATCACATCAAATTATTATCACTAGATATACCATAGAATATATTTTCAAATTATTATCACTAGATATACCATAGAATATATTTTTATAATATGCTCATTTATTTCATAGATGTTGTTACTCTTTGCTATAAAGTTTAGTCAAACTTAAGATAGTTTAACTTGAACGGATTCTTGGAATTGATTTATTTGGAGATGGAGAGAGTATCATACCTGGTGATCTACCAGTAAATCTTCACCATTTTGAACACAACTTCCTTCTGCTGCATTAAGAATTTCAATTATATTTGATACATTTGGCCTTTTCTCCTTCTCAGGGTGCACACATTCCAAAGCTATGTTGATGCATTGTTTTACTAGCTGGGTATGTAGTTCTGGCGATGTATACTTCGATGATCTTTCGAATCTGTTCCTCCAATTACTGAGCACCTACACAATTGCATATATAATAAGTGAGCTAGAGCGATAGTACACATGCAGAATATTCGTTACTTCATCTTATTACTTTCTCTGTGAAGTGCTGGAAAACTTCGGTGCTTTGGCCATAGTCTGGATAGTCGTCCTTGCAGCCTTTGAGTATCTCTATAATTATGACACCCAAACTGAATATATCTGCTTTCTTTGAGATTACACCCCTGTCTATGTATTCTGGTGCCATGTATCCCCTGCAGTAGACATCAAGAGTTTGAGATGGTGCAAGCATAATTGAGACCATTAATATATTACTAAGAAAGCAAACGGTATTTGTTGTGGGGTGTAGCTTACCTGGTTCCGGGGGGATTTGCAGTTTTAGTGACAGTCTGGGATTTTTGTTCACCCAACAACCTTGACAAATCAAAATCCGCAATTTTTGGCATCATAGTAGCATCCATTAATATATTTTGAGGTTTAAGATCTAGATGAATAATATTATACCCATGAAGGAAATTCAAACCGTGGCAAATTCCCTTAATTATCTTGTATCTCGTGTTCCACTCAAGACCGGAAGATTCATCTGTAGAAATACTTTTTCTTGACATAATTAATCTTGTCATCCATGCTTAATAAGAAGAGCAATGAAACACATTTTGTGTGGTTGAGTAGCAGTAATAGTAATATCTAGTTTCTAGCTCGTCCAAAAACAAAGTTATTCTAGTTAGATAGTCAATTTAAGTTTGACCAAATTTATAAAGAAGACTATCAACATTTATAACACCAAATAGAGATACTATCAAGATATATTTCATGATGGATCTTATTTAGTACTATAAATATTGAGGCAATATATTTATTTATTTATTTAAGATGTTTATTGTATACTATACTTGTTTAAATCTAATATATTTGGACTCAAACTAGAACAACCTTTTTTGGGTGCAGGTAACATATTTCAGTGTTCTGCTGATTGTGGCTACAAGGTGTGTTCTAACAATTTAAACATGAGAAAATGAGAAAAAAATAGGGAGATGATAAATGTATGTCCCTCATCCCGTGTTTCTGAAACGTACCTGAAAGATGCTTATCAAGGCCTTCATTACACATATACTCGAAGCAGAGAATTCTTGTCTGTTTATCAGCAATAACATATTTCCGTTCGGTAGCTTGATCATCTCTCCTTTGATTCTGAACAGTAACCTAGGAGTTGTGTTACATTTGGGTGTTTGATAAGAGAAGTGGCCACTTTCTGAACTGTTCATCACCATTCACTACATGACTATCATGAAACTTCTTCACAGCAATAAATGAATCGCCATGGTAGAGAAGTCGTCCCTACATGAGAGTAATTGTGATTAAATATGGCTGCCAACATTTTTATTTGTGAGTTGGAGCGAGAAAGAATTCATCATATTTACCTTGTAAACCACTCCGTACCCACCCCTCCCGAGTTCTTGCTCATTGCTAAAATCATTTGTTATCGATCTCAAAAAGTGTAGGGGTAGAGAAATTGGTTCTTCTGTGGTCGGATCAAGAAGCTTGTTCTCCAACTCCAATATCTCACGGCTGTCCATTCCTATTTACGCGGAACCTGCTTTAGAGGGAAAATTATGTTTAATACTTGTGTTAAACAGAGATTGTTATTAGGGTATTCTGATTAATGATATGGGTGGCCTTTCATAAAAAAATGATATGAGCGGCCCCAGGCTCTCCCAGCATATATATTCTTTTTTTCACAACATCCCAGCATGTATATTACTTCGTCCGATCTGCTAAAACGTACTCCCTACATTCCAAATTATAAGACATTTTGACATTTCTAGATGCATTGCCTTTATTATGTATCTAGACATAGTGTATATCTAAGTGCATAGCAAACACCTATGTATCTAGAACCCGTGCACTCGGCAATATTGTAAAGTACAGCGAGGCCCACGAGTAGCGTAACCCTAGGCGGCCGAATCCTGGCGACGCCGGCACCGCCGCCGGCAGCAGCGCCGCCCCCTGCCCCTCCTCCCCCCTCCCTCGCCACACCCGACACCCCCGCGACAACCAGCGCCGGTGAGCCTTCGTGGGATCTCGGCCCGCCTGCGCCGCTGCCACCAATGAGCCCACCCTTGTGGGATCTGGCGACGGAGCACCGCCCGCACGACTGTCGACGTCTGGCCCCGCTACCACGGCTGCCATCTCCATCTCCAATAGCTGCAGCAGCGCCATCCCCATCACGGTGGCCACCACCTCCTCTGCAGCAGCGCCCTCCCCACCCCACCGTAGACGCGGATGACGCCAGACCCCACCGTGGCAGCCACCACCTCTAGCAGCAGCCCTCTGTAGCCGCCGCTGGGGCCTACCGTGACCGCCACGGGGCCGCACGTGCAGGCCAGATCCGACCCCTACATGCCGCCGCCTGCGCCGGACGGTGACCGTCGGTCGTGACGGGGACTGGGTAGGTGCAGCCACCTCCGGGGACGCTGTCCCATCATCCTGCCGCCGTGCCACCACGAGCCACCCCTAGCTCCCCCCTTTCACCGGACGCGGCTCCTTTCTACCCAGTCTAGGGTGGGTGATCCATACGCTGCTGGTGGGTGGACGACGGTGGCGACGAGTTCGACGACGACCACCGCACAACCTACCTAGACGTCGCTCGTCGCCCGACGAAGGCGGTCAGTGCGCCAACCGCAAGCGCCCAGGTTTGCCCTGTCGCGGTTATGGGCCACGGTGGAGCCGACCCTGGCCAGAAGGGACCTGGCCGGAGGTGGAGGAAGCGTAGCCGGCCGCGCCCATAGCTGCTGTGCGGCATGCCTGCTCGTCCCATGGATGGCCATGTCCCTGCCCGCCAACGCCTTGGCCACCGTGGACGGGTTTCCATCCCCAATGCCTATGGGTGGCTTGAAATCCTCCCCCGGCAGGAGACAGGACCCTACGGCCGCCTTGGTTGAGCCTCGCCGCGGTCCAAAGCAGCTTCCATAGGCCCAGAAGATCCCCGCAGAGCTTCATGGCAGATGCTTCAACTGCCTCTCCTAGTCGCACTGAGTAGCGACTTGCCAATTGTCCGGCGTTGCCTGCGCTGCCACAGCTTCCGTCACCTCGCTAGGGACTGCAAGCGGCCCATGCCCGCTCGTGGTGGCAACCCAACGATCTCCTAGCACGCGCCCCATGGCCCGACGGCCTCCTAGCACGCACCCCACAGCTCTCCACCGCGCTTGGATGGGGCCGCGCAGGGTGTCGTGTGGAGTGCCGGCAGAGTCCGACGACGACACTGGCGACGCTAGAGCGAGATGACAGAGGACAGCAGCGTGGGTGCGCCTATCGACCATGACGACAGCGCTGCTACCTCTGATGCTGCACTTTGCTTCCCCTAGCTGGATCCGCTAGTGTTGGAGTTGTGGGCGAGCGCGGGGCCTCCCGCGTGGGTCGACCCAATGCTAGAGGAGTTCGCTGCCTCGCTCGTCGTCTCCCAGCCTGCACTGCAGGACCAGGGTGCCCGCCTGCTACGGCCACCTCTTAGGAAGATGAAGCATCGTTGGTGGACAACCGTTCACCGGCGAAGGCTCTCTTGTGGACGATGGACTCACCTTCGTTGTCGCCTGTGCAGCGGTCGCCACATGTCACGCCACCCTGGTAGGGACAACACGGTGTCATGGTTACCGAGGCAAGCCCAGACTCCGGCGCCATCCCCCTAGGCGCCGACGTGGCAACCCCTCCCCGTCCGGCTGATAGCGGGAGCTCTGCCGCCAAGAGGCTCAAGCGCTTCACCGACAAGATCTTGCGTAAGGCGCCATCGCCGCTGCTCCCTTGGCCGATTGTGCAGGCACAACCAAAGTTGCCAACCCGTAGCAGGAGGATCGTCGCCTAGGCACTTTCACGCACGCGTCCCTGGTTCTAAGCCGGGAGAGGTGCTGATGATGAAGCGGATGGGGATCCTCGACGAACAGACGACCACGGCAGCCAAGAACGCCTACGATAGTATCTTCGTCGACCAGTTCAACCCCTCGCATGTAGAGGCAATGCGACAGCTCTTCCCTAATCCACAAGGAGAGCGGGTGAGGCGCCGGCGCCACGCAAGCAAGCGTGTCTGACTGCCGATGCTGGTTAGGTAGCATGATTAATGAGTAATAGCACATGATTTTCTTCTGCTAGGGAGGGCAGAATGGATTGTATAACACTATTCCCCCTAGTGTGCCATATCCATGGCGCATCGTTGTAATTTTCACTATTTCTCGATCTTAATACGAAAGATGTGCAAATCTTTTGCGTATTCAAGAAAAAAAACTATGTATCTAAAAAAACCAAAATGTCTTACAATTTGTAATGGAGGGAGTAACAAAGAACCAACTGTAATTAGGGCTGGAGCCAGCATTGAGGCAAGGTGCTGCTGACTAAAGCTGTCAGCCCATGTTTTGGGTAACTACTAGCAGCAACAATAAGAAATGCATACATGGATTTACTTGTCAGGACCGGTGTTGCTAATTGCTAAGCACCCAGCCAAAAAAAAAAACTTGTATGGTCAATCTTTTCTCTTTCGATGCTCTCGCATGCCATGTTTTTGTGGAGATAGGTCCATATGGTGCTAGAAATTAAACCACCTCAAAACGCCCAAAACTTATTTAATGTTTTGACCAAAACCTAAGATATGATGCCCTGACGTGCATTCCACCCGGGCAAGCTAGCGCTACTTCTACTTGGTTTTTTTTCTGCAAACCCGTGAAATCCTGAGTGCCCAGTAGCTTCTGAAGCAGAGGGTTTATTTGGTTTTTGTAGAGACATTGCAGCGTGTGGTTTCGCAGGTTCCACGATGTGTGCTCAAGTCCAGACAATGCCTAGACGATATATACTGCAGGTGCTGCTGTTTACTGGTGGATCGCGAAAACTAGCTATGTAAAAGATCTTGTTTACTCACTGTGGCTGGATCGGAGAAACGAGCGAGCTGAAGAATTTGATCGTTCCCAAGTAGTTTTGGCAACACAAATCACAATCGGTGCTAAGTCCAGCGAGACTAGCCGAGAGATCCCATGTTGCCCTCGATCTGTTGGTATGCACCCACTGGCCCGCCGGAACGGAAGATCTATCCGCGTATGTATATATATGATGCGTCTGCGGTCTGCATAGATCGAGGGAGATCGAAAAAGCACAACCACCATTAGCGGATCCCACCGATATAATGCAAAGCAAATATAGTACATGCTTACTCACCAACAAGCTGGAGGAAACAAGCTAAGCAAGAAAGGAAGAACAAGACGATGCCAGCGCCGGCGCGGATCGGACGATAGATGGATGGCGTCACGAGGAAGAAGTCGAGATTTCGGTGGAGGTGAGGTGTTTTTGTCGGCGGATCAACGTATATCCGAGTCACTGCCTGGATCGGAGAAACGAGCGAGCAGAACAATTTGATTGTTCCCAAGTAGTTTTGGGAACACACACTCGGTGCTAACTCCAGGGACTAGCAACCGATAGATCCCATGTTGCTGTACGTTCGCAAGGAAGAAGAAACTATAATAAGGAACGACCCACCGGAACGGAAGATCTGTATATCCGAGTATGATGCATCTGGGTAGAGGGAGTGAAAACCACAACCACACCAACACAATTAGCGGAAGCCACCAATTGACCAATGCAAGCAATAGTAGCTGATGCTCCTAGTGCCACAGCCACAGCCTACTGGATCAGGAAACTATCTAGCTAGTAGAATTACATGCTTATTACTCACCAACAAGCTGGAGAAATTAAACGTGCAGGTCCTGTCGATCCGCAAGCTAAGCAAGAAAGGAGGAACCACAGGACGATGCCAGCTCCTGCGCGGACGATGGATTGCTACGAGAAGTTGAGATTTTGGTGTCGAGGTGAGGTGGTTTTGTCGACGGGTCAACTATAGCATGCCATGGAGAGATTATTATTCAAGTAACCATGTGGCCTGTCAGCGTATTGTCCGGTAGCTAGCTGTTTCATAGTAGTATATTTCAGTATTATATAGTACGCATCGATCTATAAATATTTGGAATCCATATGTGTTTACAAAAATATTCGAATCATGATCGACTGTTGTGGAAGCTGGAAAGGTCTTCATCACTGCATCCCCTGCCCGCCTCACATAAGCCTGTTCGGTTGGCTGGTTCGTATCGTTGCTGGTTCGTGAAGAACTACTGCTGGCTGGTTTGTGTGAGAGAAAAATACTGGTTCGTATCGTTGCAAGGTGGGCCTGCTCTTCTCGCACCACCTTTCATTCATGGGCCTTAGCCGCAGGTCCGCGGGAGGCCCATCTCCGGCCCAGGATGACAGCGCAACAGGTTCTTCTTGTTGGCGGAGGCTGATTGGTCGTCGCTCGGGCTGTCTTTGCCTCCGCCGCACCCGCCTGGGCTCCTGACGACCTACGCCGTCCTGTGGGAGCCTTCGTCGGGCACAGCCACCATGGTGAAGGCATTTGCCTGTTTGTCGGATTGTTTTGCTTCAGGAATATCCAGCAAGGTGATCGCATAGACAGAATTAGATGGTAGCACACGAGACACAGAGATTTATACTGGTTTGTGGCGTGGTACACGCTTATCTCTACTCCAGTGGTGCGGCTGCTCTTGTATTC